CATCCATCCATCCATCCATCCATCCATCCCTCCCTCCATCCATCAGTTAATGGGTATTCATTCATCCATTCATTAATTCATCTAAAAATGTTTTCCGTTCATTCATTTTTTATTTTATTTCATTCTTGGTTGAATTATTGACTGAATTCTTCTATTGACTATGCTTTGTTTTTAGAAAACTGTCCCAAACAAAAGAAGAGTTTCAACAATTGCAATGGCGTCCCATTCTACCATCCATTTTAACCTTTGCTATAAATTCACTCCAAAGTCCACAACAAGATACCCTACAGAATGCTACTGAAAAACTAAAAAGATCTTGTCTTCATTTACTGGATGTGTTATGCCTTTCACTGGACACAATGAAAATAGACCTTCCTCATGACTTCCACTGCAGTTTACTGGCATCTTTATTGAGTTTCCTGAATAAATTAGAATGTGAAAAGGAAGAAAATACTGAAATGAGGGGGAAGGCCTTGGAAAGTATTCTGTCCTTATTGCTTAGTTCTCCTTCAGATATACTTGTGGTTCTTCTCAAAGGCCTCAGTAATGAACTGGTAAGCACAACATGAAATATTTGCTGCTTTTAACGATGGTTTTCATTAGTGATGCAATCCTAGTCGGAGCATGACAAAAGAAATCTAAAAAGTGACAAAACATAAACAAAAAAAAAAGTGACAAAACGTTGAAATCAGAGTCAGAAGTGCATGCAGTCTGACTCTGATTTGAACACGTCAAGTGAAAACTCTATTTTGGACATGTATGCACTTAAGTACTGACATCCAGGGATAAAAATGTAACCACTAATTAAAATCAAATACTATGATATAATTTTAACTTGCAAGTACAGTCCATGATAAAACAGGTCTTATATGCAATAGTCTGTATTCTTACAATAATGTTATGTAGCAACATGACTTGTAATACTGCTATTTGGTGATGCTGGTAACTAATTTCATTAAATCTGCATTTACATCTTTGCAATATTTTTGCAGACCTCAAAACCTCTCAATGAAAACTCAGTTCATAGGATTTCAACTTGTGTTCATGTCTGGTCAATGATACTGTCAGGACGTTTTCCAAAACTTAAAAAGAAAGAACTTTGCCCAGTTATTCCTCAGGTCAGTGGTGCTTTTTTGTTTCATTGTATTCTATTTCCCATTTACTTCATTTTTCCCATTTTCATTTCCCATTTCTACATCACAGTATCCACTGTCATTTTCACCCTAAGCTTCAAGTTTTTCTTCATAAACGTATTCTGCCATTTCATATTTTCTGTCATTTTCATTCTCTTCTTTTTTCATTCTATATCTTCCATTTCTTTCATTCATCCTGTTCATCCTATTTCTATATTTCATTTTGTCTCTTTTTTTCAGGTTCTGATGGCTCTTCAATCACTCCTTCAAATGTCTGCAAGCAACATTGACCTCATTGTCCTAACACTTCAAGCTATGACTAAATTATTATCACTAGGAACGGTAAGGCAACTGTTTTCATTCATCTATAATATTCCATCCCATTTCTCATTTTCAGCCACCAATTTAACTGTCCCCTAACCTCATCCTTTTGTTTTCCCCATCCATCCGGGATTCCTTCCTTCAATAATTATTTATGTTATTTGTCTCATTCTATTCTTCCCATCCATTTTGTTTTGTCGTATCCATTAACTCATCCATCCTATTCCATCCCATTGCTTTTTTATTTCCATCAGCATTATGTTCAGTCTCATCACTGTTCATTGGCTTTTCATGGTAGCCTGCTTGTTCCACTGAATGACAGCAAAGAAAGGTATGATCTGACATCCTTTATCATCTCATATAATTGTAGCTACATTTCATGATATTTTTTTTACCATTTTGATTGCAGATTTCCACATTTGTTTCAAGCACAATATGGTCTACTGAGTTCCATTATGTTTCATCAGAGTGAAGCAGTCTATAACTCTGTGCAGGTTTTTGTTACATGTGTTAAAAGTATCCTTTAAAAAAATAGATGTATACTGAGACCAGAGAGAGACTGGAGGGCAAGGAACCTGTACCCTCCTGATTTAAAGGCCGCAGAGAGGGAGGGACTAAAGGGGCTTTAGCCCCCCCCCCCCCCAACCCCCACATTTTTCAAATATCCATTTCTAACTATCCCCCCTCGTCCTCCACACACACACACACACACACACACACACTTTTAGTCTTTTGAATTAGAGCAGTTTTCGTATTACTGTGAAAAGCTCAGTGCAGTAAGCATGAGGTGCAGTGACCGTGATGCTTTCTAGAATTTTGATTGGCTGATTTTTTCACGCGCAATGTGATTGGTTTGGCATTGTCGTGACTTTGGTGTGTCCGTGTCCATGACGTGTTTATGCCGTGTTCCGGGTATTTCGTGCCAAGAATGTTTCACAGTCATACAAAAACGGCACTACAGTAGTTTCCATTATTTTCAAATCTAAGCCTTCCCTTTCAATTCATAACTCATGGAGGGATCCATGTTGCTTGATACATAAGCTGCCTACAACTATATAACTTATATTGGTAGAAGCTGCCAGACATAAGTTGTTTGATAATTAACCTCAAAACTATCAGACATGTTGTGGAGTCTTGGTCAGCATTGCAACAACAACAAAACTGCACAAGGCATTCAAGATGAGTCACTGAAACCTCAGTTGGACAGCGAGCTGGTTTGTGCACAGAAAATGGCCAGGTACAATTATAAAACTGCATTTTGAACTGTCATTTTGATTAGGTGTAATAATCAGCAACACCAAAATATCATCACCAATATTATCACCAGGGCTCATGCTTCTTTTGCGTTACAAAATTCAAGGACTTTTTAAGCACTTTTCAAGCACAAAAATTCGATTTTCAAGGACAAAGTTTTATGTATTAGAACGTGGTTTTCAACATTGTTTTATTGTTAAAGTGCAGCTAATTCAGCCGGGCCACAAGCTTAGATAAAAAACGATCATGACACGCAATCAACCACTAAACAAGCAACCAGAAACTCTTCTATCAATTTTAATCGTTATTTATTTTAAAAGGAAAGTTAGAAATAACATTAAGTTTGTACTAAATTCAAGGAGTATTCCAGGGGTTTTGGCATTTTCCCCTATTTTCAAGGGCTTTTCAAGTGCCCTTGAAAATGTGTTTTCAATTAAAGGACTTTTCAAGGATTTCAAGGAGTAGCACGAACCCTGTATCGCTTAACTGCAGCAGCAATCACCATCACCACCAGCAGCAACATCATCATCAGCAGTAAACAGCAACTGCATCATCACCCATCTTATCATCATCCATTTGCAGCAGCATAACAATCATAATCATCAACAAATGCAACAGCAACATCATCTTCACCATCAGACATCAGCAGCAGCATAGCCATCAATCTCAGCAGCAAACAGCAACAGTATTATCATCAAGCAGCAGTAAGGGGGACTCGCGATCGATGCCGTATATTTGCGGGTTTTACCCGGGGAATTACGAACGCGGGTACAGCAGATTTACGGGAATTCCGCGGTGTGTCCTTACTGCTGCTCTGTTGGGTACTGCAAACGAAGTATAAAATACGTCCTATATAATGGATACCATCAAAAGTATCAAGAACAAGACTGTGCGCAAACTCAGAAC